AAATAAACATACTTTTCTTTTTCAAAATTCTAATTTAGAGGTTCGATTCAAATAAAATCCATTTTTTTTGAATTATTTAAAAATATTGTTTTATTATATATTACATATTTTTTAATTTATTATTTTATTATAAATTTGTTTTAAAAAATTTTGAATTATAACCTACACAAATTTGCATATATTTAGGCATATTCAAAAAAAAAAAAAAAAAAAAAAAAAAAAAAAAAAAAAAAAAAAAAAAATATTTATTCAAAAATTTTAGATATACATATAGAATAGAATATTTAAAATTGTATAAGTTTAAAAGCAACAAGAATGAAAAATCTGAAGATCACTTCATTTTGCTCTGTTTAAGTCCCTTAACATGGATTTACTTTTCATTCCATTTTATTTTCAACTGAATTTAACAAATTAATTATCAATTTCAGCATAGCATTTTTTAAATTTTAAGTTTAAAAGGTTAAATTAATAATTTTTGAAAAACTGTGGCTGAATTAAAATTTTTAAGAATATAATTTAAACCTTTGTTGCACAGACTTAACCTTTGAAACCACCAGTTAAAGAAATTTTTTTTCTCAGTTGCATAGTCTCCCCCATGGTTTTACTGTAGTAATATGTTTTTAACACTCAAAAGAACCAACAGATGGCAGCACCAAATAGCCTTTTCTCTTATTGGTTGATATGTGCATAAAACATTGAACAAACAAAGATAAAAAATTTAAATTTTTCTCGCTAACTCCAATGCAAGTAGTTACCCAAGTATAACTTATGAATTTTTTATTTACCTACTCTTTTTTTGGTAAAAACATTCATATTGCAAGAAATCAGCAATAAATTTTGCATGCTTTCTATAATTCAACATGTGGTTTTTTACTGAAACCACCGGCCACTCAGAACTAAAATGTTCCTATGTATTTTCTGATAGCTGGAGTGTAACGTCCTCTTAGAGCTAACATGTTCCTGTACATTTTCTGATTGCTAGGGTATAATAAAAGACTTCAGACTGTCAATCATAAAGAAGTCTAATTATAATTGCAAAAGAATGACCAAGACCATCCAGTAGTCCAATTGCAGGAAAAGGGGAAAAGCTGTACCTACAGATTTATGCATGGCAAAATTGCCTCACAAACAAGTAAAACCATATCATGGAGATGTTCATTCTGCAGCACAAGTGGGAAACCACACAGAGCAAAAACTATATGCAATATTTGTAAAGTGCCATTACGTAATTATCAGAAAGGCATCACATGCTTTCAAAAGTTTCATAATTTGTAAAGATGTGTGAATATGTGAGTAAAAACATATATTTTAGATCATTTCTACTTGTTGAAAATATGAAGATAAAATGTTATAAATTTTACATTTTTAGCATTTACTTAGTATACAGGGTGTTTCATAGATCATGGGACAAACTTGGAGGGGTGGTGGAGCATACTAAAACAAATTTTTTTATAGGAATGTAGGGTCTAAAGTGACGGGTTAAGGCAGGAATGCAAAAAAACAATACGAGAGGAAAATGTGTTTATGTACAAAATCAATGTAAAGTGCTTCTTTGTAGCAATACATTATTCACAATAAATATTCAGAAAAGGGAACACTGACAGTAAATACAGCTGTGATCGGCTGGAAATGCAGCGGTAGAGGGCGGTAGTGTGCCAGACAAACCACAATCCGATGCATCAGAGGATCATTCGCAACTCTGATGTCGAGCGTGATGGGCGAGTTTATGCACAGGGAAAAAGATGACATGCATATCATGTATGGTGTTGCTAATGAGAATGGCAGAGCAGTACTATGGTTGTACCAGGAACGGTTTCCGAACAGGCATATGCCGAAGCACACAAAGTTCGAGAGGCTGCATCGGTCTTTGTGTGAAAACGGGTCATTTGAAGCCACTTCTGACACTAGGAGTGGAAGAACTGCATGGCAACCTCAAATTGATGAACCCATCTTGAACATTGTGCATGAATCACCTCAGACAAGTACAAGAGCTATTGCATGTCATCCGCAATTACTTGGATGGGACATTTTGTACATAAACACATTTTCCTCTCGTGTCTTCTTCCCCTCCCCCCCTTTTTTTTTTAACGTTCCTGCCTTAATCCATCACTTTAGACCCTACATTCCTATTAAAAAAAATGCATTTTTTAGTATGCTCCACCACCCCTCCAAGTTTGTCCCAGGATCTATGAAACACCCTGTATTTATACATTCATATGAAATTTGATTCTGAAATGAGATCAGAATAAACAGTATTACTTGTATTACACTTTAAAATTATTCAGTTAATTTTCATAAATTATATTAACAACAAAACCACGACTAATTATACTTATATGCATTATTTTGCTGTAAAAATCAATGTCTAAAAAATTTGCAGATTTCATGCTCTACATGGGCAGTAATTTCACTCCTAAACCATCACCCACCACTTTTTTTTTTTTTTTGTGATATATTTCATATAATTATGAAGTTTAAAGGTAACAGTTATCAATTAATTTTATTAAATGCTGAAAAACTTTCAATATGCCCCTCAAAGGGTTAAAGAACTATTACGATTAAATTTGAAAGCAAAAGTTTTGTTTCCTTCCATTAGCTTATTGTCTGCATTTTATTTACAGATACTTTAAATTAGCAAGATTTTTAGCATTGTTCTGTTTTCATTTACACATATTTAATTTTTGCATTCATGTAGTTGAATATTACTTACTAAAAAGATAAAAACAGAGATTAAAATAAAACTGCTGCCAAATTTACATAATATCCATGATGATTTGCAATATGAAATGGTATGATTTCCAAAACTGCATGTTTTAATAATACATAAAATTCAAAGAAATGGCTTATTGTTTCTTTTTCCCCCCCTTTGAGAACATACAGACTCCCCGTGCACCACATATGTACAACACGGGGCTTACAGAAGTAAGTTAACTAGAATATTAAAGGTTACATGTATAAATAAACATTAAAAATTACATGCATAAATAAAGCGAACAAAAGCAGAGAACAGCTTATTGTTTCTTTTACCAAATTCTTGGGTTATTTTGTTCATTACACAAATTTTGGGCCCAAAATAAAAAAAAAAAAAAAATCCTTAATGTTTCTTTGAAAAATATACTTTATACAATTATGGTAAATATTCATGCACAGAATGTAAGACAGAGTTCTACAAACCCATAAATACAATTAAAAACTTGGAAAATAGTTCTGAAAAACACACAGAAAAGTTTAACAATTTTATTTTAAAATACAATATGCTTAATCCTACAACGCAAGACTTTGCTACCTCCTCACATAAAACTTAGATAACCTTTTAAAACCTCAAACTTAGATTATTTTATTATAAAATATAATTTTACTTCAATATTTATGATAATAAATACTTTTAATATTTTTTCACGTATGTTATCTTTAACTGGAAAAATAGTCATGCAGTATAAGGTTAATATTCTCACTGGGTGTGCCGGTTACTTTTAAATATTAACCCTCTGGCTGCTTTCCCGCGATTTCCACGGGCAACCAAATGTAGCTCACCCCGCGATTCCGTGGGCATGTGTTTTTCTTCCTTTTTGATGAGCACATCCCGTTTTTTTCACCATTTGACCACTGAAATAAATTATACAGTATTCATTTAGTTTACGTTTTGGACAACAAATATCATTAGTTGTCCGCTATTGGGGGTTTGAAGGCTGGTTTAACGCTCAATTTTGCCGCTTTTTTTTCTTACAAAAATGGCCGCTCGAAAATTCAGACTATCTTGATTATTTAATTAAATTATTGAATTATTAATTAGATTTTTCCTTAGATTCCTATTACTTGATTTTAATTGATTTATTGAATCTCAGCAAAACTGTGAAGTGAACTTTGCCTTGAACCCCGTTTTGAAACTCTATCATACGAAACGCATTTTTAATGCCCCTCAGGAATTTTGGGTTTTTTATTCTCGCTTTATTTATAAATAGAAATTAACTGTGTTTAGTTCTTATTTATGATGAGCACATCGTTTTATCACCATTTGAACTGAATGTATATACAGTTTTTTGTTTACGTTTTGGACCTCATTAGTTGCTTTTTCATGGTTTCCTCAACTATTGAGCTTTTTTCTACAAAAAAGGCAGCTGAAAAATTCAGTCACTATCTTGATATTTGGCTATGAGATTTTAAGAAATTAAGATTGAATCTCATGGAAAAATGTACCTGTTTTGACATTTACCATTGATAATTTTTGACCCTCAGTGCTTAATTTATTAAATCTAAACCAATTTACCCTGTTGATTCATTAAAAAAATTAAAGATGTTATTTAGTTTCAATGAATTTCTTTTAGCCACATGATTTCCCTTATTCCTTTCCCCTTCTTTCAAAATTGTTCCTTCAAAATAGGTGCATGACTAAAGTCAAATATTACTAAATGCCATGTTGAAGTGTAGTGCAAAAAAATTTATTAATGCAATTGATTGTTGTATTGCTAGGCTATGACCCCAATACTGGGCATGTCTAGTTATGAGATCTTGCTGGGTTCAATATATGGAGATCCGAAACACCAAATTTTTTGGATGATGAACAAATTATAAAGGCAAAGAAAGCCACCTATGAACTTTCATTACGAATGAAGTTATTCTCAGAACAATTGGAGAATTCGAATCAAGGCAGTCAAACTGCAGACATTGCAACTGAGTCTCTAACATCCTCTTCCAATGATGAATTACATTTTGAGAAAAGATCACAACTAATACTTAAATCAGCAGCACATGTTCTCTACACAATAGATGGCTATAAAATTACACAAGAATAATACCATAATTTTTTTAACACACATTAGAATTTTTTTTCGAATACAAGAATATTTTGCATTTGATTTTAATTATTAATGACAGTTTCTGCTCTTTACTACTGAAGTTACTACTAAGTTTTTGAAAAAAAAATTATTTCTTGATTTACAATAAATTACAAGCAATTTATAAAAACTTTAGTTTTACTACACAATATAAAAGCTACTCACTAGTGCATCAATCTTTGCTTTAATTCTGGTGGCAGATTTCCCATAACATTACAAATTTCATAGAACTTCTTCATCTGCTTCAAGAATTCAAAGCATTCATAATTATCCACCTATAGTAAAAGACAGAATATTAAAAAAAGAATTCTCAAACAATGCCAAAATTTCTCTACCATTAAAAGAAGCATTCTATTACACATGTATTCAAAGCAAATTTTGTTGTAGACTATGCTGGAAATAACATAAATCGATATAAAGATGGCCTAATCTTATACACAGGATGCAAAAGTAACAAATTCAGAACAATTTAAGCATAACAAATGTTAAAGAAAATGTATTCTAGATTGTATGATGTATGTAATTATTTTCTTACCAATTAATCTATAGCAAATCCTATATCTGATTTCAGATGAATACCACTACAATACATTATAAATAACAACCATTGGTTTCATTTTTATAGTTCTAAATCAATATTTAAAAAGCTGCTGATACATTCAATTGAGGTTAGAACAGTTATGAAAATAAGAACTTCATGGGAGGTATTCCTACATAAAAGTAATATAATTCTCCCTTTCTGAATATGGCATCAAAAAACATCATTAACCCTTTGACTGCTCAATTTGTAAACCGAAATCTTTTTTTCCCCCATATTTTAAATCTATAACCCTCTGACTGCTCAATTTGTAGACCGAAATCTTCCCCCCCCTATTTTAAATCTATATGTATTGGAGAATTGAAAAATGCACTTTTTCTTTCTAGAATATATTTTTTATACAGATTTTTATCATGTGAAATTATTGGCCAGAAAAACCAATTTCAGATGTTATCACCAAAAATAATTTTCTTTTAAAATAAATTTCAGTCGAATTACAGTTAATTTCTATTTGCATAATATAAAAAAGTAAAATGTATAAAATTTAAGAAAATATTAAGCGCTGAGGGAAAAATACCTTAAAAATGCAGTTTAGTATGATAAGAGTTCAAAACAGGGTTCAAGGGCAAAGTCCAACTTCACAGTCTTTGCACCAGATTCAATAAATCTAATTAATAATCATAAATCTAATTAATAATTCAATAATTTAACTGAATAATCAAGATAATCGCAGAATGTTTCCTAGCAGCCATTTCTGTAAGCAAAAAGTGGAGTTTGAGAGGTAATACCACGGCCTTCAAACGCCACAATTTAGCGGACAATTAACGATAAATGTTGGCCAAAGCGTAAACTAAATGTCTAATACAGCATTAAATTTATTTCAGTGGTTAAACAGGGAAACAGGGTGTGCTCCACAATAAAGGAAGAAAAACACATGCTCGTGGAAATTGCGGAATAAGCAAATTTTGCTACATTTGAGCTGCCCGTGGAAATCGTGGGATGATCTGCCAGAGGGTTAAAGACAAGGAAGGAAAAAAATACAAATTGCATACAAATATGGGCTCTAATGATAAATTAAAAGTTTTTATTTTTAATGATATGATTACTAGTTCAAATAAAGTTAAAATGAAATATACATTTAAATGATAAAATAGAAATTTAAAAAAAATTAAAAGATGTACAAAATGCTACTTAGGATTAGTATAAAAGGCACTGCAACAGGTCTAGTTTTAAATGAGGCTGTCCTAGAATCAAATCAGTTAAATAACTATAAGTTATTCTACATGAAAATAAACTCCTTCAAAAAAACTACACATAAGGCTAATTATATTTTTGGATTAAATAATTGTTAGAACTTAACTGCTTTATTTTAAATCATCAAATTCGAACACTATTAGAACTGCAATGCACAGGAAAATAGTTCTAGTATCTTGAAGATATAATTAATATGCCAGTGTATCATTTAGTTACAGATTAATATATTTTTAAACTTTTACACTAATTTAGCTGAAATAATTCAATCTCACAGAATGGCAGGAAAAAAACAGCTCTCTTCTACCTTTTATAATAATCCACTAGATTTCATATATCACATAAAAACTGAATTGATCAGAAATAAATTACTTCCATATATAACTAACATTCAAATTAAATCTTTCTGCTTTATATGGCAAATATTAATTTGCCAGCTGTCACATTTAACTTTAGATTAAAGGAGGGTGATACATTATACACCATAAAATGAAGAGATTTGGACATATTAATCCATTAACAATAAATTTATTTTTCCTCCAAGCACTTTCATTTCATGATATCAAGATATAATTCATGAAAACAGATAATAACTCTGAATTTGAATTTATGAATCCTTTAGTCTCCCACAAATAAATAACCTGAACTATTTTCCTAAAAATGTGTTTCACTGGGGATCAGTAGGTTACCTTGATTGGGTAAGTAAGCATCAGTGGGTTAAATATTGGATATTGGAAAAATATATTTATGAGTAATCTGATGACTTTAATGTCAATTTAATAAATTGAACTTATTAAAAATTTTAAATTACCAATAACAATCTTTAAGTAAGCATCAGTGGGTTAAATATTGGATATTGGAAACATATGAGTAATCTGATGACTTTAATGTCAATTTAATAAATTGAACTTATTAAAATTTTAAATTACCAATAACAATCTTTAATAGTTAGCCAAGACTTTAATCAAATAGAATTCACATTTCTAGCAACTGCCTCTTATTACTCTGAATATGTTTCCAGTGATTCAGGCAAGCACACTGTAGCTATCTGGAAGTTCCCCAAGGGTCAAAGGACTTTTGGATGCACAGATAATAAATTGAACTTACTAAAAATTTTAAATTACCAATAACAATCTTTAATAGTTAGCCAAGACCTTAATCAAATAGAATTCACATTTCTAGCAACTGCCTCTTATTACTCTGAATATGTTTCCAGTGATTCAGGCAAGCACACTGTAGCTATTTGGAAGTTCCCCAAGGGTCAAAGGACTTTTGGATGCACAGATGTTAATCTGTGCAATCAAGGCAAATCACAAAGATGCTTCAGTCACAAACGTCAATGCCTTAGCAAAAATTTGAACCCTGACCCAATGGGTTCGTAATCTGATGACCAACACTATTCCAAGCAGCCTTTCTAACAGTTTTCTTTTAAGAAAGTAAGAAATATTGCCATAATTAGTAATTAAAAGTCTCTCTCCCTCAGCATGATTTTACTATTGGCACAATACATTTTATTAATACTAATTTGTTTTCATTTAATACAAACTAAATTTTTTGTAACAAAACTTGTGTTAACAGTGCTTTTATTATGTTCCTATTTAGAGTGTTAGCACTATGCATATGTTAACACAAAAAACATGAAATAAACCAGAATGAGATTTATCAGTAAACACCATTTAGAGTCAACTTCCTATTGATCCAGAGCATATTAATCAGGCATATCATCTGCTGAGCACATCATCAGTTAAATAAATATCATCATTCAGTCATAAAATAAATGTACAGTCATGAATTGTTAGTTATCCATTGACTTATATCAAAATATTACAGTAATTTAAATAGAAACGCTGGATTTTCAGCTACAAAATGTGTTCCTATATTGAATCTAGATTTCATTTAAAGAACTTATTCTCCAAACTTTTGAAAAGTAGAAACGTTGGATTTTCAGTTACAAAATGTGTTCCTATATTGAGTCTAGATTTCATTTACATAATCAAAAGAACTTATTTTCCAAACTTCTGAAAAGTACAAGCAAACTGTTAATATCTGGTTGTAATGCTGCCAATGTTTTGATAATTGAGCCTTGTGTCCAGAAACTTGGTAGCCACAAGTCCAAAAACAACCTCATTTTAGACATGCAGAATAGGAGATAGCACAAGCAAGATGTAGCTGCAGGTATGAAAAAAGGTAGAAGTCTGAAGGGGTGATGTCAGTGCTATATGGTGAGTGTGGCAAAAGATGCCATTTGAGTCTGTACAAAGTCCAGCCGATGAATGCAGACACATATGCTCTTGCATTATCTACCTTTTTGTCACAAAATTCACAGACATTTTTCCTTGATAGGAGTGTACACCTTATTGTCGAGAGTTTTTACCTTTTTCCAGATACCCTTTAAGGATAATACTACGGCAATCCCACCAGATACAAAGCATTACCTTTTTGTTAGTCAAATTCCACTCTGTGACGCTGCTGACATGCTCACCGGGTGCAGACCAACTCCCTTCTTGGGCTATGTTGTTGAAGTAAATACACTTTCAATCACAAATAACGATCCAGTCCATAATTTTGTCCTTGCATTGATATTCGAGCAGATTAGTGCATGAACACGTCTGTCCTTATCTGCTTGAGTCAGTTCATGTGGCACCCAACGTTTGAACTTTTACGTCAAGTTTATGCGATGCAAAGCGCGACTAATGGACATGGCACTAACGTCTAACTCCTTAGCAAGCCCTCAAATGGTCGCATACTGATCTTCTTCCACAAGTTCTCGCAGGAGGGCCTTATCAACATCAGTAGGACAGCCCCAGTGCTTTACTTCTTGAATGTCATAGTCCTTGTTTTTGAACTTTCGGTACCAAACCTTTACAGAATCACACCATATGCAGACTATCAAACACACAATCCATTAACACTTTCTTCCCACATATATATACAAGAAACGGATGCAATTAACATGTTGATTTCGGCATACAATAGCAAAATAGGCGAAGATAAAAAAGAAATCAGATAGTCTGCTGAGATCGTCCATTACAAGGATAAAGAATAACATGAACTGCAGTTTTAATTGCAGGACTAATCACTTCAGCAACAGATGCTTTTGAATGTATATTTTAAAGTAACAGATTATAGCAGTCATGACCATATATAACCTCTATACTTACAGCTATTGTGTAGAATCCATTTTCATTTGGAGATGATTTACTTTTCTTTGGTGGTGGCGGAAATGTGACAGATTTGGCAAAACTAAGACTATCTATCAAGTTTTCTGTGGACAAGATATATTGATATTAAGTTTTCAAAATCATATTTTCAAATATCATCAAAAAATTAAGGTTAAAATAGGTTAAAATTTAGGTTACAAATTTCAAATATCATAAAAAAAATTTTCAGTTGTTTGACTTCTAAATTAATATCATCCAAAAATAAATAAGAAATGATGCAAAATTTGTCATAAGAACGAAAATTTTCTTTTAAGTTTCTTAATATAAAAGTGCCGCAACAATAAAGTGTAGTGTACAATAAAGTGTAGAAAAAAAAGTTTCTGCAAAATAATACAAAATTTTCAAAAATTTTCTCTGATAAGACTAACTTTTTTCCTTCGGATTTTCCTCTTATCCCTTTTTTAAATACATTTTTTCATACAGTATAGCAAACTGCACAAAGCAATGAGATTAAATTTGATCACCTGCATATAGTCTAACAGCTTGTGCACATTCCAGGGTTTACATACATTTCTGCACACGGAAATCAAGTACTTTTTAGGATCATTAAAGAAAAAAAATTAAGGACCTATCAGCACATGGGAATTGAATAAATTCAGTTGAGGATATTGTCTATGACTGAATTTCCCTTTTGTAATACCATCCTAAGAATAAAATAGATCCATAACTAGCATGCATTATTATTAAACATAATAATAAAACAAATTTGAGAATAAAATCAACTTTATAAAATTTATTAAGCAGCATTAAATGTTTTACACTTAAAATAGTTGGACATATTTGAAGGAAAATTAGTGACATATATTTACGCTTTTAGTCGAGCAGATTTTTATGTCATACAGCATAAGTTAAAATGAGAAATAAAATGATAATCAGCATGATTCATAACAGAAGATTGGCTGTTGCCACTGCTTGCCTACAGAAAGACCTAAACACCTGATGTAGGCATGATTGGCGAGTTTTGAAAGTAAGTTATGCTCTGTCTAATGCAGTTGGTGTAGAAGCTTTGTCTTCCTAGTTCCTAGGATTGTAACCCAGGTAATATATTTTAAGGTTCCAATAAGCCACTACAGCACCAGAGGTAATAAATTATTTTGTATTATTTTAAGTCTCACTATCTGCAAGGAATAATTTTAACATGAATTTTTACATTTTTGTCCTGTAGCTCGAGACAACAGTAAGGATTAATGAAAGGCAGTAACTCGCTTTAACATGCAGAGATAACAGGTGACCAGTTAGTTACAAATAATTAAATTAGGTAGTAGATACCCTTAGTCATTAGAGATTTACCTGATCACTAATAAACTTTAAATATTTTTTAAAATATTTGTTAAAAAAACATTATTAAAATCACAATCTAATAACGTTTCAGAGTTTAAAACGCATGTAATTTATCACATTGATTGTACAACAATACACAACAACTACTACACTGATTCATACAACGATATTAGGATAATTAACACATTAAAAACTACAAAACATTCATGTTTTGTAACAACACACAATAAAATATTTATGCGTCTTTTTAATTTGAAGCCTTCCCAGACATTTTAGCTAATTTATTTCAACTTCCTCCTCTTTAAGCATCTTTTCTAACAATAAGAAATTTGTTTCAATACACAAACCAATGTTCTCACTAGTTTCTACTTTATCTCCTAACTAGTCAATCTCTTAACAATGTACCTATGAGATTTTACTTGATCTGGTAAAAGTTAGTTCAAAACCCTCGACAGTCGTGAAGCAAATTGTCGTCATGTCTGAAAGTAACAACAAAGGTCAGATAAAGGTTTAAATAAACCTCTTATTTAAAAATAAATTAGATATTAAGGCACATTCTTACACTTACAAACTCAACTATAGCTCATAGGTGATGTTAACTAAACAGGAACAGTGAAATTTGAAATTTAAACTAAGGACTAGTAATCAAAGATTATACAATTTAATTTTAATCTAAGCAAGCTCAGTAATTTTACCATCATAACGAATTCACATGTCAACAGCAATAACACAAGGACAAATAATTGCAAATTATCAGAGCTGGTAGGAACTAATGCAGAGTGCAAGTAGAGGCCAGAACAGTTTAAATACTATCTAGGTGATTTGCCTTCTGGTCAGGAAACAGAAAGAAATTATATTAAAGGCTGAAATTATAAATAACTAGTTAATTTACATAATAACAATACATATTTTTGAAGAATAATTTTCTTTGTATTCAGTTTCTTTCTTCATTGTATTCAGTTTTTTTTAATAATTTTCCTCTGAATTTTAGAATTTTTGGATTTAATTAAAAGATTTCTGTTACTCTAAAAAACTACATATGTAGAACAAGCTGCTAATTTTATTTCTTCAATAATATAAACATTCAGAATAAATATAAAATGATATATGGTCAGGGCCAGTGTGGCAGAATTTTTAGAATTTAGTGACACACCGAGCAACAAAATCTAGAAACGGCAAAACTTTCAGAAATTAGAGCAGGCATTGGAAGCACAATTTAGAAAGGCAATGGGCAGCAGAATTTAGGATCCACAGAGATTGCATCAAGTAGGAAAACGCTCTGTGCACGATGTATTAAAATATATTAGATGAATTTTTTTAATTTTAAGTTTTCATTTTTTTATTCCACACCTGTCCATATCATAAGATTCGAAGCAATTTTGATATTTTCCATGCTTGTGTCTAGTGAAAAATAGAGAAAATAAAGGGAAGATAAACATGTTAAAAAAAGATTCTAGTATCAGAAGTAAAACATTCAAATATTATGTTTTCCTTTTTCTTCCAAACGGTCTCCAAAAAGAAAAAAATATGTGTTAATACCATGGAGACATTTTTCATTTTGTCACATTTTTCTCAGTTCTTCTAGAATCATGCATGTATAAATCTTGCCTTCAAATCCTTCTAAACTTTCCAAGTTACAATATCTAAAATCCTAAAGGAAAGTTACCCCTTCCAATCCTGTAACAATCAAAACTCAGAAATATTTTGGTAAAAAAAAAAAAATCAAAAAAGGTGTAAAATTAATTTTATGGAAAAAAATAATGCATATTCCGAGACAATCACATAGGGAAACTCTTACCATGAAACAATAAAAAAGGAGACAATTGTTACTTGATTACATAGATATTTTGTTTTTGCTAAAAATTACTTTGTAAATTGTGCTTCATTTATAACTTTGTTTATTTTTCAGATTCAAAATATTGTATAGTAAATCGCCAAAATAGAGAGTACTGTCACTTTAAAATATGAAAGAGAAAAATTAAAACGTTTTATTTTAATGTTATTTCCTAAATATAATTTCAATATATTACAATTATTTTAAAAATTTATCAATGTTCTAATGTATAAAAAAAATCGTCGAAAGATTTCCAAATTAAAAATTTTCTGTAGAAACTGATCTTAAAATCACCCAAATGTTGATAAGTCACCAAATTTATAACTGCTTAATAAAAGCATTCACATTCCCCAAAGCAAAAAGTTAAGAAAGAGCTTAAGAAATGAAAGAGCACAAAAGTTAAGATTAGGAAAAAAATGAGCTAATTTTGAAATTGTTTCACTTCTTGCCCAGAAACTAGAGTATCACACCGTTTATATTAGAAATAGGAATAAATTATAACCCATTCACCCAATAGCCTTTTCAAAAGATAATCATATTTGTTAGTAAATTGCCAAAAATATTCCTCCAAAATGCTAATTCACACTCAAAATGGCAATCGCAAAAACAGACAGAAATTTCAGATGATTTACGTTAAGGACTTTCTGCTGCTTTTGGCCACCACCAGTGGTCGAATAGCTAAGGATTCTGAACGTTCGTAGCTCTTCCTGGGTTTAAAGCCAGGTGAATGAGCATGGCTGGCTTGCCATATGTAATGCAAATATGAGCCAACTTCCTCTAAGAAGTCCTCCCCAAAACCATTCTTCCCTTTATGCAGTGAACTTCCAATAACCTATAATCACATCAATAACCTTGCTACTGAGCCTTTTTCTAATATTCTTTTCTATTATATTCGACTAGGCCCTCTTGAATCAGGTAACTTAATTACTTCGATTGCATAGCATTGGCAAAGCACATGAGAGCTATCTGCTTAAGGAAAAGGAAGGAAAGCCTGTGTGAAAGACCTTTATCAAAGGAATCTGTCTCACATTCACAATATATATAAAGAAAAAGTACGAAAACTTCAGTGCAGCCAACTTGTTTTCTAGATCTCAATCTGAATTTCACCATCAGTATTCTGCAATCTTACCATCAAGAAGATCTTGGTCTTGATAGCATTCATTATCCTTAAATTTCCATCCACGTCATCAGAATTTCCTTGCTTTACTTTCAGGCCCTTTGAATACTGGTTACTGTTTCAAAAACAGCAACTCTTTCAATAGCAGAAAATTGCACAAAGCTCTTAAAACAGCAGCTTTCTATTTTATGACCAAATACAGTTCCCCTTCCTCAAGGTATGAATTAGTGTTTGTTAAGCTTTTGATTTCATTCCTGGCCTTAAAAATGAAACTCATCACATCAAATGAAGAGTTTCTTCCAAAATGTAACAAATTTTTTCATCACTTTCAAGTAAAAATTTGGGAATATTTTCTGCGGAAAAGATAAAACTGTCACAAGCATTAGCAAAAACATCTATTTAAAAATGTGTTTATATTTCCAGAAATATTTTATGGCCAAGTCAATATTTTAAATGTTCCAAGTTTTATATTTAAAATCAAAAGTATGTAAAATAAATATGCAACAGAAACCTCAATGAAATCTAATTTTAGAAAACTCACAGAAAATAATAAACTATTCCGAGTAGCAAATATTAGAGTTAGAAATCAACTTATTTCCACCCCTACTTAAGAATACCAAATTTTTTAATATGAATAATGCTCCATGAGTTTTAAATTTAATAATATTTAATTTTACAGTAAAAATGGAAAGACTGGACAACAGGCATTTTCATCTGGCAACCAAATGCATAAAAAAGAAACGACTTTGATTTATTACAACCAACTACATATGTCATAAAAATAACTAATTGGATATATTATAAATTAAACAGATTTTAAATCATATCTATTGGATAAACAAAATAAAGATTTATGAGGTTCCTTATTCCTTTCAAAGTGTTAAGCAGTTATAATTTGAAAGATAATGTATTGAATGGCAATATTCTGGAAAGGCAGATATGATTATAAATTCTAAAATTTTGTAGATGCTGCTGCAAGCTAAACATAAAAATGTTTACATATTGAGTTTTCTACTAAGATGTGAATAAATGTGAGCCAATCTCAGTTATATAAGAGTTATTATAACTATTATTTTAGAGAAAAAAATTTTGCAAACAACAAAAATCTAGAAATGGCAAAACTTTTAGAATTTAGGACAGGCACTGAGAGCAGAATTTAGGAAGGCACTGGGCAGCAGAACTTACGATCCATACAGATAACATCAGGTAGGAAAATGCCTAGCACAAGCCCTATGTATGATGCATTGAGACATCTAAGATGAATCTTTAAAACTGTCAGTTTTTAATTTCTATATTACTACAAAACTTCCTTTCTACAAATAACTACCCATGTGGTAAGATTAGAAATATTTGATACTTTTAATGCTTGTGCCTAGTGAAAAGGAGAGAAAATAAAGGGAAGATAAACGTCTTCACAAAATGATTTCTGGTATCAGAAGTAAAACATTCAAATATTATAGTTACGTTGTTCTAATACTATAAAGACATTTTTCTGGAATCTTCTAGAATCATGGGTCTACAAAAATCTTGCTTTCAAACCTTTCTTCTAAACTTTACAAGTTGCAATGTCAAATTCTAAACAAAAATTAGCCCTAACAATTCTGAAACAGTTAAAGGCCAGAAATGTTTGGGGAAAATAAATAATAATAATAAATCTGAAAGCTTTCAAATTTTAGACTATGCCCAAATGGGCATTTTTCAGCATTTGTATGTTACTTTTATTTACTAAATATCCTGTTCTTTGCACTTCACCATAAAATTCAATTCGACAGCAATATCACAAAATACTTAAAAAGAGCATATCTTTAGAATTTCAGATACATAATCTCGTACGCTAGAGATAAAAATGCTTTTTTCGTACAGTGCTGCCATTGCTCGCTTTGAAATCGTCGAGTTTGTTAATCAAAAATTCATTAAAGTTTTACAAAATATGAAACAGATAACAAAACAAATTCCACTTTTGGGCTTCCAGATCCCACACCCGATAGGAGGCCTATGTTATTCAAAATTTGTAGATGTGCCATTGTTTTTCCACAATCGCAGATAAATGCATACATTCATTCAGATTCTTCATTATTTAACTTCTTTAAATATAATACAGGGCTCTGATATTTAGTGGTAAAAATTTAAAAAGTGAAACACCGTTTTAGAGTGGATGACGCTAAATGCCAAAACAATATAAATAGCCCTTTTGGGCAAACTGCCCCTTTAGGCTTAAAAAAAAGGGGGGAGTTAAAAATTAATTTTATAGTAAAAAATGCCCATTCTGAGAAAATTATACAGGGAAAACTCTTACCATGAAGAAAATTAAAAAGGAAAAAATTTTTCATTAATTATATAAGATATTTTGCTTTTGCTAAGAATTGTTTCGTTTCTTTCGTAAACTATGCTTTATAGCATTTATTACCTTGTTTATTTTTCAGATTTAAAATATTGTATAACAAGTCACTAAAATGGAAAGCAATGTAACTTTATAATATTACAGAGAAAAATAAAAATGTTTTATTTTAATGCTATTTCTTAAATATAATTTCAATATACTATCATTATTTTAATGAAATACATCAGTGTTATAAGGTTAAAAAATTGTCAAAAATTCCCATATCTCCGAAATAAAAACTTTCTAAAGAAACCGATCTTAAAAATCACCAAATTTAGAATCATTTAATGAAAGATTTCACATTCCCAAAAGCAAAAAGTTGTTCAAGAGCTCTTCATTAGAAAAAATGAAATAATTTCAAAAAGTTTGTGTTTCACAATATTATTGTATTGCATATATTATCATTATTTTGATGAAATTTATAAACATAACATTTAAAAAAATCATTGAAAAATTCACAAACTCGTAATTAAACATTTTTTTTTCAGAAATGGATCTTATAATCGCCCAAATATTGATATGTCACCAAATCTAGAGCCGTTCAATAAAAGAATTTACATCCCCAAAAGTGAAAAGTTCTTTAAGAGCTTTAATATTATAATGTCCTTAAAAAAAAAAAAAAAAAAAAAAAAAAAAAAAAAGTCGAAAAATTTACAAATCTCCCAATTAAAAATTTTCTATGAAAATTTACCTTAAAATCACCAAAAATGTTGATGTCACCAGAACCATCTAATCAAAGAATTTACATCCGCAAAAGTTCTTCATTAGAAAAAAATGTAATAATTTTGAAATGTTTATTTTTTATTTCTTCCCCAGAAACTCAAATATCATACTATTTATATAAGAAACAGGAACAAATTATAGCCCATTCAAAAGATAACCATATTTCTCAGTGAATTGTCAAAAATCTTCCTCCAAAATGCTTATGCACACTCAAAATGGCAGTTGTAAAAAAGAAATTTCAGATGATTAAAATTAAGGACCTTTTGAGAGACAAAAAATCGGTTCCCAAAAAAAAACCTAAGGACTCTTAAGGATCGTACGAACCTTGTAGTTAAGTACTGCTATGAAATTTAGGTATCTAATGTTGTTTATATTTTAAAAATTTAGTACTACTTTTATTAACATCTTTAAAATTTTATGATACCAAAAATTACTTTTTCCTATACATAACATAATTAAACATATGTATTTTATATAATTAAATAACAAATTTAAAGATTTATAATTATTTTATTTAGTAGTCCAGTTGCTGACTTCGAAATGCCAAAAACTGAGGGTTTCCGAAAGACTTTCACGCTGTGCATTTCAAAAGAACATCGAATTCACTTCAATTCAGTTTACAATATATGATTCAAGTTATTTAACTATTTATAATATGGTTCTGATATAAAATATTTTAATATTTGATTAGATTTTCTAAATTTCACTTTTTTTTTTTTTTTTTTTTTTTTTTTGTGTTGCGTGTGTGTGTGTGTGTGGTTAATTTTATTTTGTAACATTTTCACAATTTGCTATTTAGAAAATGCTGAATATCAAAAAAATGTTTTTATTTAACAAAGTACTTTTATATAGTAAAATTCAAAAATAGTGCATATATTATTACATGGATAAATCATTATGATATGAAAATAATGATAAAAAAATTAAATACAAATATTAAGGGATTAAATATCAGTTGAATCTTTATAAAAATTTCTACAACTGTCTATAGCAGATGAAATTAAATTCAATCAAATAAAATTTAGCAAAAGAAAATCATTAGGTGTAAAGCAATAAAATTTTTATAATTTAAGTTTCATTAACTCAATAAATTTCATTTACTGCTGGGAAATCTTCTCAGTAAAAGTTAAAAACCAAGAGGTTCAGTGATTTGACTAGGAAATATGATGAAAACATCACGATACACTAGATTTTAAAATTTGTCAAACAACTACATTAAAGGCCAGAAGTATATAAAAACAGAAAATTCTAGAATGGAAATTAAATCATTCTCATGCTGGATAAATTATCAGACTTTTCAGATAAAAAATATTTTTTTAAAAAAAAATTATGCTAGAAACATAGTTTACCAAAAAAATAAAACAATAAAGAGAAGTCATATGAATGATATATGAAAAATCAGATTAAAAAAATTACCAAATTCAGGTGGATCTTTCCTTTTTCCTGAAATAGCACTTCCAGATAATATACTTTGTTGTTCTTCTGTTTTTCTATCTCGACTTGGACAAGCACAAATTTTTACATCAAGTTTTCTGCGACCAATTACTTCACCCCTTTATTAAGAAAATAAGAATATACAAGTTAGAAATCTCATTGAACAATTTTTTGTTAATTTCTTAAAAATTCTACTATAGTGATGGCTAAATGGTAGCCCATGCATATATATGATTTACCAAAGAGTATATTATCCAAGTTTTAATGAAAACACAATTTTCTCAATCAAACTGCTTGAACAGCATTAGTTCCCATTAAACATATGCAGGCAAACTGGGAGAAAACAAAACACTTTTTCCCAATTATTAAAAAATTAAGAAAACATAATTTTAATACCTGCTTTAGAAGTATTAACCCTCTGAGCAGCCATGGTTTTCGCTAAGGAAACACAAATTTCCCAAAACTGCTATGAGAACAAATTATTTTTTTAAATTTTAATGTAAAAACTCTTCTGGTATTTCATTCCTGGATTTGTTTTCTTTTGATATATTGCCTTAATTTATTTGACATATTTTAATATGCACCTATATATACATTTTTACAGATATCACAAAAAATATTCTAGGCTGTATATATATATATACAACCTTGTCACTTAGAGGGTTAAATTCTCATGGCACTTCTTAAATGCATTAGCAAAATGCTTGTTAAATTTGGTGAAATTTCATAAATCTCAAGTGCAAACACAGTAAGGAAATTAGAGAAGCTAAAAGTTTCTGGAAGAACTCTAATTTGCCTCGTCTTCAGGCACTGTTCTCATGTTTCTTCCACAACACAACAAAAAATGACAAGAAGAAATAAGTGGAAATGAAGAAACTAATTTTCATTATTACATCATTTTACTTACAATTTATTCACATACTATGAATTTAATTCCTAATTAATTTAAATATTTTTATTTCCCATATATTTTAAGACATATTTTTTATGCATGTAATAACCTCTTCCTGGCATGCGTATACAGGGTGTCTTCGAAGGCTATGTACAAACTTGGAGGGGAGATAAAGAACATTGTGAGGAGCCATAATTACATCAGAGAGTATGGGTGGAAACATAACCTTAATGAGATAAAGAAACACAAAGACAGTAAGGCTATAACACAAAATGTAGTGTAAAATGCTTTATTACACAAAAACAATAATAAATAAATCTATGACATAAAAGCATCACAGGAGCTGTTCGAAATTGCGGCCATTGGCCCATAATGCACGCACAACCCGATGCAACATGGACTGTTGGACATGTTCAAAAATATTGGCCGTTTCACGGGATCGTAGCAACAGCGATGGATATTCATGCCACCAAGTTTATTCAGAACTGATGGACGTGTTTTACACAAGGCTCTTCATGGCACCCGAGAGAAAAAAATCCAGAGGAGATAAATCATGGGATCTGGGAGGCCAAGTGACGGGACCCTCACGGGCAATCCACCTGTTTGGAAATGTCCAGTCCAAATGGTCACGTACACACCTTCCATACTGAGATGGCACCCCGTTCTCTTGAAACCACATGCAATGTAGAGTGCCCGTACACTGGTACAGGTATCTGTCCCCAGCATGCAACACACCCTCTTCAAATATGGGCATTCGTACTCCTCACGACCACCCAGTACCTTCAATCCCGGCTCTGAGGGATCCGTGTTCCACCAGGTTCTGATGCATTTGATGATTAGGTTGCCACTTTGTTGGATATCTTTTCCCATACAACCGAATAGCAACAGATACATTTCCGTTGTTTAGGCAGTCCATAGATGAAGTGGATATCCACCAATTCAGCGTTCGTAAAACAATTCATGTTCATCGCACTCTTGTGCATGTCTGAAATGAGGAAACCACACATGAGGGCCTTGCAAACTTGTATACGGCCATGCTTTCCGATGTAATTATGGCTCCTATCAATGTTCTCTACCTCCCCTCCAAATCTGTACATGGCATTCGGGAACACCTTGTATATGCACGTATGGACTGAAAGACAGAGATTACTTTAATTTTCCAAGTATTTAACGCTAATTTTTAATCTGTGACTTTGTTCAGAAACAGGCTCATACATTTACTTCTTTCATTGTACTAATCCCTGATGGTGATGCAATGAAAAACATAAATTACTTTTTTCCTTTTTCACTTTTTTTACACCTTTCATGCAATTTACCACTGTGCTTCTGTTTTTTTTATTTCTGCACACAGTTTATTCCAATTTGAATACAGGATGAATTTTAAACACATTAATTTATTTTGCGTTTTATATATATATATTATGTATTATATATATTTGCATTTCATATATATATATATACATGTAAGATATAACAAAATACGATAGCTGCTTTAAAACATAATTGGCAATATTAAATTAACATTCTAAATTTGGTGCTCTTTCCCTAAATTCATTCCCTTCTCCCAAATTCGAAAATCTTCGATGATTATATAACAACTTCAAACTAACCGATCATAGCTTAGCGTACTCTCTGCATGTACTTTGTATAAATACCGCTCGGAAATAAACTGCATCACTCTTTTCCTGGTTTCTACCTGGCTAATAACTCCTCGCTTTGCTTTCCCCTCTAAACTGCCCAAGTTGTAATTTCAGGAGTCAATGTATATAGAAATTTATTGTATTTCATTATGACTGAATCATAGAAATGTCTTGGATTTCATTATGACTGGATAAACATCTATGGAGATGATTTTATACATGTGAAAATAGACTGGAAATTCTTCATGTTTTATTATCTTCATCTGTATGCCTTAACCACAGCCATGACAGACATCAAAAGCTGTTGAAAGTTCCAGTAATCGCAACTGTTCTCAGAAAATATGACATACATGTAGGTTGCATTATACAGTCAAAAGTCTTTAATCCTGACTCGTCGGGACTTCGGCGATTCCGCATTATAGATCATCAATTTAAATCTGGTAAGATGGCATGCAGAAATTATAAAATTAAAAATATAAAACCGTAATTTATGAAATAAAGAGCAATTATGATCTAAAGGGTATCAAAATTTACAAAAAAAAAAAGCTTAATATTTATTTGTTTACTTTATTAAACATTTCTTTCAATGTGCGCTTGCGTAAAACATACATTACGCATAGTCGAAACTAGAAAAGTGCAACCAGAAAACTATTTGATGTGTATTCGTGATATTTATAATGACGAAGAATTTGATTTAAATCGTATCAAAGACGGAATACATTGAGATGAAATACTACATTTAGTAAGGAATTATAAGCCGAATAAAATAAAAACATCTGCGCTGAAGATAAGGATAGTGCTGACAGATCAACTTTCAGTTCATTGTGCGCCGCGTCATTCTGCTACCCAGTCTCTCTGTTCATTCTGTTACACAGTCTTCCAAAATCATAACCTTGATATCAAAGAATGCAATCAGCACTGTTTTAAATTTCAATTTTCTCTGATAAACTTTTGAAATTCTAGGGAATGAAGATGCTTCTCAATGTATGAATTGCCTTTTTGTCACTGAATCCCTTTGGTTACTACGACCTCTGAACATATATCAGGAATTCATGATAATGTATTTATAAGTACAGCGCATTTCAAAAAGAAAATACGTATTTCAAATGCATATATTTATTAAACCGTATGACATACGAATATGAAACTTTACACACATATGTATGAACCTCTCAAGTTCAGATTACAGATGTTCAATATGTCCTCCATCAGCAGGACACAAACAATATCACATCGATACTCAAATTCCTCCTATACTCAGGCAAGCATGTCCATCATCACTGATGCTATGACAGTGCGAATCCGGTTCTTCACCTCTTCCAGGTTCTGTGGGAGTGGTGGTACTCAAACATTGTATTTAATGAAACCCCACAGGAAAAAGTCACAGGGTGTCAAATCCAGTGACCATGGAGGTCAGTTGAGACATGCTAATTCGCCAGCTCCTTGATGACCAATCCAACGGTTTGGTAGAGTTTCATTCAGATAATCACGCACTTGGCGACACCAGTGAGGGGGGGCCCCATCTTGTTGAAAAATGAAGTTGTCTTCGTGCAGCCTCAGAAACAACCAGTTTTGTAACATAGCGAGATACTGCTGACTGTTAGCCGCATTTCCATCAAAGAAGGATGGGCTGTAAACAGATGATCGGGATATTGCAAAAAAAAAAAAACACATTGATTTTAGGCGAATCTCGTATATGAATGGCTGCTTGTGAGTAGGCCCCAAATTCGAACATTTTGTTTGTTTACATGACTACTAACATGAAAAGTCGCTTCATCACTGAACATGATGCGTTGTGTGAAAGTGTTATCATTGTCAATAATCTCATTACAAAATGCCACACGTTTGCATTTTTCATCAGGATGTAGAGCCTGTAATAAAAGTAACTTTGTAACCAACCAACATCTCAAAACACGCCAAATTGTTGTTGTAGGCAGTTGTAACTCCCGACTGGCATGGCGAGTTGATTTTGAAGTACTACGCTGGAAAGCACATATGTACGAACAACATTTTTGTTGGAACACGAGGGCGGCCAGGACTCTTTCCTTTACATACACATCCTGTATTTAAAAACTGTCGAAACCATCTGCGAATGTTCCACCCATTCGGAGGATCATTTTGGTACCTCAACTTGAAATGTCTTTGCACTGTAATCACGGAATTGCACTTCGCAAACTCGAGAACGCAAAATGATTTCTGCTGCGGAGTAGCCATTTTAAACATGTGACAGTTACCACGCAAAACAGAAGACAACCAACATCTAGCGGCTACTACCATAAAAAAAAAATGACAGTAGTTTTTTAACTGACAGCAAACTTTAACCAATCTTACTACTGACATAAAAAGCATGTCAAATGATTTTTATTAAATGGTAACTGCATTTTTACAAATTCTAAATAAAATCAGCACTATCTAAATAAGTTGAAAATGCCAGCAATTTTAAATACTAATTTCAAGTCATCTATAAAACGCACTCTTTTTCTGGGAAGGGTCATCATTATTCCATAAAATTAAATTTATTTAGAAAAATATATTTTAATTTTTAAAACATATGGAAATACGATTGCCCTTTTTCATCATTATTCCATAATAAAATTAAGCTTATTGAGAAAAATACATTTTTATATTTATAACATATGAAAATATGATTACCCTTTTTCAAGAGTGAATATTAACATTAAAGGCCTTCTGTTGGGCCCACCAGCACAGGATCCAAAGCACGCAAACTTGTAAATGTATGTAGAAAACTTCTGTCCCACTAAAATTAGAAATTAAATTTATTAGTATATATATGTATATCTGTGTATGTATTATTACAGGGTTCGTATACATTTCTTCACACAAAAATTAAGAACTTTTAAAGACCATTAATGAAAAAATTAAGGACCTATGAGCAAATGAGAACTGAATAAATTCAATTAAAAATACCATCTTTGCCTAAACTTCACTTTTGTAATACCGTCCTAAAAATAAATAGATCCATAAGTAGGATGAAATACTATTAAATGTAACTTAATTAACATAATTAGAATTAATTATAGATTGAAATAAAATTTTATGAAATTTATCAAGTAGCATTAAAAGTATTTTACATATTATTTATATTACATATTTTTTTAAAAGTATTTTATATAAAATATTTATAATAGTTGGACATATTAGAAAGAAGATAATAAAATAAATCAATAATAAAATTATCTTCTTTCTAATATTTTAATTACGTTTTACTAACAGTTAGCTTTATGTTGATTTTTTCTTTTATGTCTCATTTTGTCACATACTTGCTCAGTCTAGAGCTTTAGTAAATAGTAAGCAGATTTTATGTCAAGCGGCATAGGTTAAAATGAGAAGTAAAATCATAATCAGCATGATGAACACAAAAGACTGGCTGTTATCACTGCAGCTGCTTACCTGCAGAGGTTGCGACTCAGTTAATATACTTTAAGGTTCTAATAAGCCACTAAAGCACCAGAGGTATAAGTTGTTTTGCATTATTTTAAGTCTCACTAGATGCGAAGAATAAGTTTTACATGAATTTTTTCATTTTAGTGTTTTACCTTGTGATTACGGTAAGGGTTAATGAAAGGCAATAATTCGCTTTAAAATGCAGAGATAAACATAATTTCACTATTTTACCATTATTTTAATGAAATTTAACAATGTTACAATGTTTTTAAAAAAATCGTCGAAAAATTCCCCGACCTCGAAATGCAAAACTTTTTACGGAAACTAATCTAAAAATCGCCAAAATATTGATGCGTTACTAAATTTAGAACAGTTCAATAAAAGAATTCACATCTCCAAAAGCGAAATGTTGTTTAAGAGCTCTTTATTAGAAACACATGAAATAATTTTGAAATGCTTATGCTGCATTTCTTGCACTACAGTCAAAAGTCGTTAATTCGGACACCCATAATCCGGAATGATCTATAATCCGGACCTCAAAGCTAAAATCTTTCTGCGCATGCGCATAGGCGTTTTACGCGTGCGCACAAGACATTTACGACTGCGCATATGCGTTTGCGCAAGCGCAGAATACGTTTATCGCGTGCGTATTTAATGTATAACGGACGGTATAAGCTAAAAATCTATCTAAATTATCTATTTTCAGTTAATGTTGCATGATTGCGTTGTTCCCTTAATCTTCGAATTGGATCCGGCTTATTATTTTTTTGCAGACTGTAAGAGCAATTTTATAAAAGTACTCTTAAACTTTCGATTATGTCAAATAGAATTTCCGATGCTGGAGCTCCCAAAGGATCTAGAAAACGAAAGTATGTTTCGATGTCCATCAAACAAAAGACGAATTGCTACAAAAAAAATGGATAAAGCCATATCCTTTGTTTATCTAACCGTTCCGAAATATGTTTATCAATTTCACGCTGCTCTGCGCGGAGGGGGGGGGGAGAGACGTCGCGGCGGCAATGAACTGGAAGTTGATCTGTCAGCACTATCGTTATCTTCAGGGCAGATGTTTTTATTTTATTCGGCTTATAATTCCTTACTAAATGTAGTATTTAATTTCGACTAAATGTAGTATTTAATCTCGATGTACTCCGTCTTTGATATGATTTAAATCAAATTCCTCGTCATTATAAATATCACGAATACAAATCAAATAGTTTTCTGGTTGCAATTTTCTAATTTCGGCTATGCGTAAGGTATGCTTTACGCATGCGCGCGTTAAAAGAAATGTTTAATAAAGTAAAATAAATATTAAGCTTCTTTTTTTTTGTAAATTTTGATACCCTTTAGATCATAATTGCTCATTATTTTATAAATTACGGTTTCATATTTTTAATTTTATAATTTCTGCATGCCATCTTACCAGATTTAAACTGATGATCTATAATCCGGAAAAATCGATAATCCGGAATCGCCGAAGTCCCGACGAGTCCGGATTAAAGACTTTTGACTGTATAAAACTCGAGTATTAGAAATAAAGCAAATTATAACTCATTCAAAAGATAACCATATCTGTCAGGAAAACGCCAAAAATATTCTTCCAAAATGCTAATTCACACTCAATATGGCAGTCATAAAAACAGGCGGAAATTTCAGTTGATTAAATTTAAGGACCTTCTGCCGATTTTGTCCGAAATTAAGGACATTTAAGGACCAAAAATTGATTCCAAAAAACAGACAGACTTTTAAGGACCGTACGAACCCTGTATTATATGACATTCAGCATGAAAAATAGTGAATATTTCAGACAGCTTTATGCAAAAATCTAACTTTTTAAAGCATAAAATTGTGGCTATCTTTAGTTTGAAAAATAATTTAAACCTTACAAAACTGCAGAGTTTTGCCCAAAATAACAATTGCATCTATAATGAATAGAAAGAATTTGGGTATTGCAAGCTCAAAATAACAAAATAATGAAATGAAAAAATTTACATGAAATTAAGACAATAAAAATGTTTAAAAACCTGAAAAATATTAAAAAATTATAATATTTTTTGCACATATATATCTAAGCTGGCCCTCATATGATATAGATGATTTCCACTGGGAATAATGTCCACTTTATTTCTTCAACCAAGTATCGTATTTTGTTACTCTTAAAATTCAATCTTGTCCAGTTTCCTTCAATTGCTCTGTATTAGTTCATTAACCTACTTACCTTTCCTTCCATGATGCTCCTTTTTATTCAAAACATTAAGAGATATGAGGTTTGGCAAAATGCCCAATCAAAAATTTCGTAGAGCCATGAAACACTACTTAAAATTGTATTTAGGTAAATTTATGTGAAACTAAGTTTACAATGATGTGAATGATTACTTTTTTGTTTATGTTACGACTAAACCGCGAAACATTTCGGGTATCACATTTCAAAGAAAACCACTTTGACCACTCTCAAATCCATATGAACCATGTTTTGGGGTGACATCTGTACATTGGAACAGAATAAAGACTCTTTTTCTAACACAGATTGTAAAAACGATTCAGAAATGCATTTTTTCCGTGACGCCTAAACATACATACATGTAAACTGGATTTGGGATTCAGTTTTTTTTTTTTTTTTTTTTTTTTTTTTTTTTTTTTTTTTTTGTGTGTGTGTGTGTGTGTGTGTGTGACCTCTGTATGTCCGTAGATACGTATGTATATGATACAGTCAAAAGTCGTTAATTCGGACACCCATAATCCGGAATGATCTATAATCCGGACCTCAAAGCTACAAACGCTCGACGCATGCGCAGAAATTATCTATTTCAGTTAATGTTGCAGATTGCGTTGTTCCTTAATCTTCGAATTGGATCCGGTTTAATATTTTTTGCAGACTGTTAGAGCAATTTTATAAAAGTAAGCTTGAACTTTCGAATACGTCAAATAGAATTTCCGATGCTGGCGCTCCCAACTGATCTACAAAGCGAAAGTATATTTCGATGTCTATCAAACAAAAAGTGGAATTGCTGAAAAAAATGGATAAAGGCATATCCTTTGTTTCTCTAACCATTCCGAAATCTGTTTATCAATTTCATGTTGCTCTGTGGCAGGGGGGTGGGGCGCCGCGGCACGCAATGAATTGGAAGTTGATCTGTCAGCACTATCCTTATCTTCAGAGCAGATGTTTTTATTTTATTTGGCTTTGAATTCCTTACTAAATGTAGTATTTCATCTCAATGTACTCCGTCTTTGATATGATTTAAATATAATTCCTCGTCATTATAATTCGCTTCCGATAGTGAAGAAAGTGACACAGAGGTTATTGAAAACGAAAAATTTCGATTGACAAATTAGTCGGTATTCTCGACACAGCAATTATAGGACTTGAACAGTGGAACTTTGTAACTGAACAAGAAATTATGTCTGTTTATAGAATTAAAGAGAAAGTATTATCACATAAAACGAAGCAACTTAAACAACTTACATTGAAAGAAATGCTTAATAAAGTAAACAAATAAATATTAAGCTTTGTTTTTGCAAATTTTGATACCCTTTAGATCATAATTGTTCTTTATTTCATAATTTTAATTTCATAATTTCTGCATGCCATCTTACCAGATTTAAACTGATGATCTATAATCCTGAAAAATCGATAATACGGAATCGTCGAAGTCCTGACGAGTCTCCGGATTAATGACTTTTGACTGTATAATTAAAATATGAGTAGGCTCAGAACGTTTAAATTTTGTATATGGGGCTGCTGTAGTTAAGAGCCTCCCTTTTTGGTTGCAATCGGCTGCACCATATATACACCATTCTGTAACCCGATTCAGTGAGCTCAGTTTTTTTATTTACTTATTTTTATATGTTGGTAAATTGTGATTTTTAGCTTGTGATTGAATTATGCTGTTCTTATGCTCTGGTCAAGGTTTTTACACCTTTTGATGATCTGGATGCAACAGCTTTAAAATTATGACCAATTTAAAATTTCTTTAAGTGGTACTAAGATTTACAAAGTAGCCATTTGTTTACAATTGAAACTCTTAGTAGATATTGTATTTCTTGTTTTATGTTTTTCTGTATTTTACAATTTCTAATTAAACTGTTTTGAGACTTTTTTTGTACTTTTGCCTTGGGACAAAGTGAGAATTGAATTATTTGAATGCAAAATATATTTCTAATGAAATTTGAGGAAACAAATTTAAATGAAATGCAGCAAAAAATCTATATAATTTAATAGGTCACATAAGGAAGTCAGGTGGTATCCCCATCAGATTTTTTTAAATGCCATTGGAAATTTTTTACTGCTGAAATGACTGGTGCAAGGTTTAATAAATTTGAATAAACATGAGCTCAAGCATTGAGGTTAAGTTTTTTTACAGGGTGATCTTTTTTAAAGTGGCAGTGTTTGGAGCGCCCTGTAGCACGATCTAATAGCCAAAATGGCACCAAACTTGTTATTTAGACTAATGAAGACATGGGACATCAAGACATACAATCGTACAGTTAAATTATTTATGTTTATTTACTACATTAACTTCCCCGGTGAGGAATTAGACCACATCCAATGTGAGCACCATTCTCAGAAATAACACCGTGCATTCTGTGCACAACGTTTTCCACAGCCATATGTAACATATCACGAGGAATATTCCGCACTGTCTTTGTTATGTTGTAGTTTAGAATAGACAAATTTGATACTCCATCAACATAAATTTGAGATTCCAAATAACCCCAGAGCCAAAAACCGCATGGTGGTGAGGTCAGGGGAGCTGCGGATGCAATTACATTAATTCATGTAATACAGCTTCACCAGTAACGCACGTTCCGGTAACGTGAGATACATGTCCACTGGAGCTTGTTTACTTCAGCTGAGATTATTTGTCGGAGCTGTCTACTATTTGCTTTTATAAACCCTATTACTGGCACTGCATCGCACAACATTTGCATTTTTCTTTGATACCCGTGTTTTATGCTAATTTTCATTGTAAGCTACAGCAGCGCCACAAAATACTTTAGTGCCTATTTTTGGAACTTTTTTTTTCACTGAATCCTTTTTCCCAGGTCTTGATTAGTCTAAATACCAAGTTTGGTGCCATTTCGGCTATTAGATCACGTTACAGGGTGCTCCAAACATAGCCACTTTAAAAAAGATCACCCTGTATATGTTGTATCAGTAATTTGAATCTCCTCATTATGTAAACCATCCTCAGACCATTATATTCATCTATTTAAATTTTGTATCAACATGTAAATAAATAAATAACCATATATGTTCCTTCAAAATTCACCCACAACATTAGATGCAAGTTTGCTAGGATCTTTCGCAACTTTCACTATCTCCGAGAGCCAACTCTATGATCCACATGAAAACATGAAACTACTCACAATTTATATACTAATGCAACAAAATGCTTACATTAATGAATTTATGATATGGTGAAAGTGAATGTATGTTGAATAAAAACCATGTAATCAAATAATTAGCCTTGTGAGATATGCATTGCCTAAATTAAAACGAAGGAATGTTGAAAAAAATAGATGACAAACTTCATCATGTAAAGTTAATAAAAAAAAATTTGGTTTACTCAAAAAGAATCATTTAATGCATAAGTACTATTTTCTCATTTATTCTTTAATCTTTATTTCATACAACCATCAAATATTTCATAAACAGTAAAAGAAAAATATTCCCATGACCAGCAAAGGTGAAGACTTAGGACTACTTTCTCATACAAAGACAATAATTACTTAACATGATTTACTTTGTTCTCAGTTTCCTCAATTACCTCATATAAGAGAAACTTGTTTAAAAAATTATTTTATTTCAATAAAGTTATCATAACATCTTAAAATTATATGATTACCAGGAGGATTTTCAAAGGGAACTTTGACACTGTGACGTCCAGTGGCTCCATCGATTTCATAAGTTGCCATGCTACTTTCACAACGAACAAGATGCTCAGCTTCAAAAACACCTTAAAAAATAAAAGTTGGTTAATGTTTAATTTTATGTACAATATCCCTTTACTGTTCGCAACTCAAAACAAGATTTGTAGGTGAAAATACCTCAAATACAAAGAGAAAAGTATATAGATGAGTTATGGACATATGGATAGTTTAATACAGTGATATGTATGAATTTTTAACAACTGCATAACTCAGATTTTATTCCTCAATTATATCCTCAGACCATTATACAGTCAAAAGTCTTTAATCCGGATGTCCATAATCCGGAATGATCTATAACCCGGACCTCAAAGCTACAAACTTTCTGCGCAAGCGTCAATGCATAATGCATTAACGCATGCACATAATACCTTTACGCATGAGCATATGCATCTACGCATGCACGTAATATGTTTACGCATGCGCATTTAATGTATAACGGACGGTATAAGCTAAGCTAAAATGATCTAATTATCTATTTCAGTTAATGTTGCAGATTGTGTTGTTCCTTAATCTTCTAATTGGATACGGCTTATTATTTTTTGCAGACTGTTAGAGCAATTTTATAAAAGTAAGCCTGAACTTTGGATTACGTCAAAAAGAATTTCCGATTCTGGAACTACCAAAAGATCTACAAAGCAAAAGCATGTTCCGATGTCCATCAAACAAAAAGTGGAATTGCTGAAAAAAAAATGGATAAAGGCATAGCCTTTGATTCTCTAATCATTCCAAAATATGTTTATCAATTTCATGCTGCTCTGCAAGGATTGGGGGGGGGGGCGACGCGGCGCACAATGAACTGGAAGTTGATCTGTCAGCACTATCCTTATCTTCAGGGCAGATGTTTTTATTTTATTCAGCTTATAATTCCTTACTAAATGTAGTATTTCATCTCGATGTACTCCATCTTTGATATGATTTAAATCAAATTCCTTGTCATTATAAATATCACGAATACACATCAAATAGTTTTCTGGTTGCAATTTTCTAATTTTGATTATGCGTAATGTATGCTTTACGCATGTGCGCGTTGAAAGAAATGTTTAATAAAGTTAAACAAAATAATAAAGTTTAATTTTTTTTTTTTTTTTTTTTTTTTTTTTGTAAATTTTGTTATTTTTTAGATCATAATTGCTCTTTATTTCATAAATTACGATTTCATACTTTTAATTTTATAATTTCTGCATGCCATCTTACCAGATTTAAACCGATAATCCAGAATCGCCGAAGTTCCGACGAGTCCGGATTAAAGACTTTTGACTGTATTCATCTATTTAAATTTTGCATCAACATTAGCCACTTACAGCTGGTGAGCAGAATTCAGATAATGCACTCAATATATGTTTAAGTTGTTTAACCCTTTTGGGGCAGAGCACCTGTGTTTAAGAAGCTTGTGTGCGACAGAAGGCACAGTCACTGTACAGGACGGGGGTGTATTTTTTTGCAAAAAAAAAAAAAAAAAAATCAGAAAACGTTTTACTTCTAGCATCGTAATTTTTAGTATCATTTTAGATTATTACTTGAGCTCTTATATGTTAAAATTAGCACTTAATAACCTTTTTTCCTTTATTTTACATGAAAATATATTAAAAAAAATTGCTTATCTTGTAAAATAATTTTCGGAAGCACCATTCAAATTAGTCCAAAGTTTTAATTGATAAAATCCACAAATAAAGTTTAAAACTAATAAAACAATACAATAAAGACTATTTACAGTAAGAAGTAACAAAATTGAAAATGAAGACTGAGTGTGATAAATCTCGAAGCACTGAGAAGTACCACTTTCTAACCCTTTAGAAAATGAATCATCACTCTCATCAGTGTTAGTAAATGGTTCATTAACCATAGGAGTGTATTCTTCCTCTGAAAAATAGTGCCTTCATGCCATAATAGACTGGAGGTGAGAATCTCCAAAATAAAAAGAGAAGAACCCAAAATATGTCTGAAGGCAATGCAAAACATAATAAAGCTCCAAATAGTAACCTTAAAAGACAGTACATGGTAGAGGAAAAAATAGAATAAAAAAAAGAGATATAAATCAGACAGTGAATGTTTACATTAAAGCCCACCTCTGTTTACACTTTCCCTCCTCCCTTCCCAAGTTGATGATTAAAATACCAAAGTCAGGCAAAATATATCAAACTCAAGGTCAGGAACCTAAAACTGTACTCATTTCAAAAGTAATGGGCATAGGATGCCATCTAGTGGTCTTCAGGAAAAGGTTCCCGCTTAAAATGCATACGCATCACCCATCCTCTGAATGCAATCTCTAGGGATGGGAAATGCATATATAGGGTGCCCGTCCTGAAAGGGTTAAATTAATATAAAATAACGTTTTTATAGTATAAAATAAAATTTTTTAACATTTAAACTTTAAGGTTTGCACACTACTTAAACACATTCCAATCATAAAAATATTTTATTATTCATAAAATTTATTTAACTGCTGACAATAAAAATGCTTTTGAGCCATTGTACAACAGAAAATTAACTAGAAAATAAAAAATCATTCTGAATTTTTTACATACTATTAACTTTTATAAGAATTAAATACTGAAAGAAACATTTTTTGTCCCAAAAAGTTAAACCTTTTTGCTAGAAGTATACATCACTATGTTACAGACATTTCATTATCCCTCTGTATGGGAGTCATCAACTGTACACATTCAAAAAAATCGAATTTTATTTTATTTATTTATTTTTTCCCCCCATTTTTAGAAACTGTAAACATTTCTGGATCTGTTAAAACAAATGGTGTTACGATAATCGAATTAGAACTTTAAAAATTATGAAATAAAGAAACCGATTCTGAGGTAAATATTGCCAGTCAGGCATTTAAATCATCACTCGACGTTTGTTTATATTTGTATGCGCTGCTGCTTACGAATGTTCACTCCTAGATTGCTTTAATTTTTACTGTTAACATCATGTATATTGGTGAAATTGAATGTGTCGGACACATTCAGAAAACAATGGGCTCTAGATTACGAAAGCAAGAAATGAAGGGGACACAACTTAGTGACGGTAAAACTCTCAGTGGAAAAAGGTCACCTTACGGATGATATTATAAACCAGTTGACAATTTATTATGGAAATTCTATTAGAAAACATTGCAATTCTGTAAAAGATATGCAAAAGGCAGTATGGGCAATATTTTACCACAAAATAAACATTCAACCGATGTGGAACTTACTCACAATTTTTGCTCAACAGGGGAGAATTCGTGGTGTACATATCAAAGAGCAATTGCGAGTGGAAATCTGAGATCGTGCAAAAATAAAAATTCAATTCCACCACCTGTAATGAATTCTATAAAAGATATATTTAAAGGTATTTGTTCACCTCTTTTGTGAAGGGAGCGGAAATTGAACTCCACACTCATTAAATTATCGACACTACATTTCAGGAAAAGACATTTATTCCTACTCACTATACATATACTTTGATACAGAAAAACTAGCAAGATTAAACAGCGCCCTCTTACGGAGGGCAATGGATGGCGTAACACACTAGGGCCCCCATGACCCCGTCATCAGCTCAGCTAGAAATATAAACTGAAATATAATGCAACACATAAAAATTAAACAAACTGTAAACATAATTATAAAACATGGAAAGAAATAATTCAATCAGCCATTTATAGAAAGTCTGACCAGTTTATGTATTGGTCTTTTCATTTCACCCGACATAGTTTTTAAGTTGACTGACCTTACTCTTTGGTCAGTTCCCTTTGTAAGTGCAAATTACTTTTGCCATCTTCCACTTAAGTGGCGACAAGTTCTCATCCTTGATTAGGACAAAGTCATTGACATGTAAATTGGCACTGGGACGTTTCCACTTGTTGCGCACTTGCAACTGAGTTAAGTAGTCTTTTGACAACGATTTCCAAAACGATTGGAAAATCTGTGTGACTAATTTCCAACATTCATGGATGGGAATTTTCTCATTTGTTACATCAGGCTCAGGAACACTTTTTAACTCAGAACCGATAATAAAGTGACCCGGTGTAATGACAGAAAAATCATTTGGGTCCTCAGAAGCAGCCACTACAGGACGGAAGTATGACTTCAATCTCCACTAGACACGTTGAAAATTCTTGTGAGAGGATCTGCGATCCCATAACACGTCTCATGTGAAACTTCATGGATTTAACGGCAGCCTCCCATAGACCTCCAAAATGAGGGGCTGATGGAACATTCATTGTACAAATGCCTTCATTGGTCAAGTAAAGCTGCAATACGTGCCTGAGCACTAAGATCACTAACAAGTTCTAAATGGACGGCTTTCGTTGCAAAGCATACAAACATACATACGCACATTTTTAGTGGTTTAACTCCTCTACTAGTAACTACTGCTAGGGCTGATCAAGAATGGTCCTGAAAAGTCAGTTCCGCATTTAAGAAATGGTCTTCCGGGATTCACTCTCGCAGAAGGTAAATCAGCCATCATTTGTTTCGAAAACTCAGAGCAAAATCTGGCACAGATAACGCACTTTCTTATTTCTCTGCTTATTCCAGTTTTTGCTCCTATAATCCAACACTTTTGTTTCATCACAGAGTTAACTAATTGTACTCCTTCGTGCATAGAATTAAGGTAATAAAATGTCACTAACAATTTTGTAACAGGATGATTCTTAGGCAATATTATTTGATGTTTCACAGAATCTGGTAAGCTGGCATTTCTTAAACGTCCTCCTACACGTAGTATGCCACTGATGTCTAAGAACATATTTAGAGAACTTTTCTTTAACACTCTCGCTTTCTCTAAAGTAGCTATTTCCTTTTTATACTTTTATACTCAGTTATCTAGACTAGTTTGATTATAATATCGTGCACTTCATTTAATTCACTTGTTTCTAAGAAAGGAGTCAAAATCCTATTCCCCCTCACATTTCTTATAAACCTTAAACGCGAAGAAACAACTCTCTGCAACTTACTCCAAACTGAAAATTTGTTCCAAAGCTGCTCAACTAATTTCAACTGAACTACAAAACATTTGACAGAATTTTTTCTTTGCTCTCTTGGTATTT